AGTCGGTTGCCTTTTTGTTTTGTTGACTGTTTCCTTCATTGTGCAAAAGCTTTTTATTTTGGTGTAGTCCCAAGAGTTTAGTTTTGCTTCTGTTTCCCTTGCCTGAGGAGACATATACAGAAAAATGTTTCTGTGGCCAATGTCAAAGAAATTACCACCTATGTTTTCTATGAGTGTATGGTTTCAATCCTCACATTTAGGTCTGTAATCCAATTTGAGCTTATTTTTGTGTATGTTGTAAGAAAGGGTTCAGTTTCATTCTTTTACATGTAGCTGTCCAGTTTTTCCAAGAGACTGTCTTTTTCCAATTATATATTCTTGCCTCCTTTGTCATAGATTAACATGTAAATGTGGGTTTATTTCTGGGCTCTTTATTCTGTTCTATTGATACATTTTTGTGCCAGTACCACATTTTTATTACTACACTTTGTAGTCTATCTTGAAATCTGGAATAGTGATAACTCCAGCTTTGTTTTTCTTTCTCAAGATTGCTTTGGCTATTTGAAGTCTTTTGTGGTTCCATAAAAATTTTAGGATTATTTGCTCTAATAGTTTTGTGAAAAATGCTGTTAGTATTTTGCTAGGGATTGCACTGAATCTGTAAGATTGCTTTTGATAGTATGGACATTTTAACAATATTAATTCTTCCAATTCATGAGCATGGAATATCTTTCCTTTTGTTTGTGTTATCTTCAGTTTCTTTCATCAGTGTTTTATAGTTTTAGGGATATAAGTTTTCCACCTCCTTGGTTAAGTTTATTGCTAGGTATTTTATTCTTTCTGGTGCAATTGTAAATAGAATTGTTTTCTTAATGTCTCTTTCTGCTAATTTATTATTCATGTACAGAAATGCTACTAATTTCTGGGTATTAATTTTGTGTCCTGCAATTTTATTGAATTCATTTATTACTTATAGTAGTTTTTTGGTGGAGTCTTTAGGATTTTCTATGTATAATATATTATCTGCAAATAGTGACAGATTAACTTCTTATTTACCAATATAGATGACTCTCTCTTCATTCTTGTCTGATTGCTGTGGCTATGACTTCCAGTATTATGTTGAATAAAAGTGGTGAGAGTGGATATCCTTGTCTTGTTTCTGATTTTAGATGAAAAGCTCTCAGTTTTTCACCATTGAGTATGATGTTAGTTGTGGGTTTTTCATATATGGCTTTTAATATGTTGAATTATGTTCCGTCTAAACCTACTTTTGTTGAGAGTTTTGATCATGAATGGATGTGGAATTTTTTCAAATGCTTTTTCTGCATCTATTGAGATGATCATATGATTTTTATTCTTCAACAAATATATTCATTTTTATTTAATTTTCATGCCAACTTTTGAAGGTAGGTATTATGACCCACATTTCACAAATGAGGAAACTGAAGCTCAAAGAAATCAAAGTTCTAATAACCTAAGGAATACTCAACGATAACAGTTGGTAATGTCAGAGGCTGAAGCAAAATATTTGCCTCCCAATTATTTTCCCAGGTACCTAATTGTCAGTGAGGCTGTTTTAAAAGCCTGATTATGTTATTTATTAGTAAACCTGAGTGAATGAATTAGAAGCACCTAGAAAAATATATTGAGGAAATTCTTTTATAGATCCTAAAGTATGGTCTGACTTACTCTGATAAGGAAAGAAGTACAACCTAAGAAGGAAAGAGTAAGGGATTCGTTCTGTGCAGTAAACTAACTTATGCTAATTCTAAGAGGAATTAAGTGTTTCTTAATGGCATACACACTCTTACAATAAATGGCAGAAAACCTGGGCATGATATATTCAATACCTGAGTTTAAATTTGCTGAATGTGTTACTCAGAACTCTCAGAATCAATTCAGTTTGGCAGTGGCATCATGTGAATGGAAGAAAAGTAGAAGGTATTTATGGAGAAATACTTGAAAAATTTAAGTGTGGAACAAATGGTTTTACATTTTAATTCAAGTTCTGTCATATATCATACTTAAGTAGAAAATGAGGTTTGCCTGTGTTATGTTATTGATTTCAAAATCTAAACATATGGGATTTTTAGAGTGTTATTTTATTCCAAGCATTCCCACTGAGATTTATTTCAATTTGACTAACATTTATCAAGTGCCATATCAGTCAGGATTCCAGTAAGAAACAGAAAGTAATGTTTGCTGAAATTTTTGAGTAGAATTAAATGTCATGACTAATTCACTGAGGTTGGGCAAGATAATGACAACTGACAAAGGATGTTGAGCCCCATAAGGATTAGCAGTGTAGAAACCCAGTGATGGCTGCAGCCTCAGAAGCGACACCCTTGTTGTAGGAGCTGTAGTTATGGCCAGTCACCCACCCAGGAAAGCAGAAATGAATCCCTTGCCATCTCTTGCCTGGTATCATTCAATTTCCTACTGATGCCTCCTACCGGCTCAATGAAATTGGAAGCCAGAGGCCAACAGAGCCAGAGTGTACAGTCAAGAGAATCAACTCCTCCCACCCCCTCAGAGTTGGGGTACACAAAGGGTTAAAGGAGAGCAAAGAATAGATAATGGGGCAAGGGGATAGAGAACTAACACCACAGTTGCCTACTACTGTGTCAGGGACTGTGGCTGATATTGTGGACTCAAGGATGAATAAGGTTAGTTTCTGCCCTAGAGGAACTCACAATCTAGTGAGGAGTCAAACACAAACTGTCATCTGCCAATCAGAATGAAAAGTTGTTGTAGTTGAGGCCTTGTTCCCGCTTCACTCTCTCAGTGACTACCATTCATCTAGTAGAAGTGTTACAAGCTAAAGATCTAGTACTTGCAGGAACTGAAAACGACTCTATAGAACTTATTATATGTTTATAAACCTATATAGTAAGAAAATCCACAAATTGGTAAAATCTGGATAGGTAAGCATGAATCTATTTCCTCATGTGACCCCTTTCTTCCTCATGTCACTTTGTGCTAATCATCTTTCAGGTCTTTGAGTATGCTGCTATTTATTTCTCTTGCCACTCAGCCTTTCCTATCTCTGCAACACCCGACCTTCACTCCTGCCCACTATTTTTCATTTAATTCCTTCAAGTGTTAGCCTAAATGCTACCTCTGCTGGAACATTTTCCCTTACTTGCATCATCACAGTTCTAACACTGAAGGTAATTGTGCCTTTATCTTCCCTACTCACCTCCGAGCTGTTTGAAGGAAGATTCTGTGTTTATTTTTGTTGTTGTTGTTGTTGACTAGTATATTCTCATGGGCTATCACAGTCCAAAGAATAGGAGCACAAAAAATACTGAATGAATGAGTGAATAAATGAAGGAACGAGGTTAAGCAAGATAATTTAGTATATTGTAAGCATTGAGTACATTAAGGTGACTAATATCATCAAAATGGATGTTTCATTTTGAGGATTAGTAAAAAACAAGGTGGAGTTGGTGTAGGTGGGAAAAGACTAGATATTATTGAGGTTCATGAATGCTAGAGTGATTCTAAAGTAATAATAATAAGTAGAATGAGTAGGTCCTATTTAATTCAAATTGAGAATTCTTAAGTGGTAAAGTAACATTGTAAGAGCAATATACATATGAGAAAGATTAGTCCACACATGTTGAATAACATTCAACATTCAGGAGACCAATTTTAGATGCCTACTTAAAGTGAATAGGATATAGAGAGGAAAGGTAGCTCTTTCTGATTTTTTTTTCATATTTTAGTTTCTGTTTTTTCTCAATTTCACTTTCAATTCTGTAGAATTCTCCCTGGTACATTTCTTTTTCTAATCAGCAGATCCCTCAATGGTATCTAACAATCTCATTTGTCTTAGAAAATTTTGTATTCATTTTTCACTTTATTTATGTGTAGGACATATTTTATATTGATATATTGAGGCTTTCAGCTCAAACATATATTGATGTAATGGTATTCCATTTGTTTGCTGATAATAGTCATATTACAGCATGGGAAGGCCATAAGAATTCAAGAGCCCAAAAGACAATTTCTCAAAAGACATATAACAACTGCAAAAGTTGCAGTAATACAAATTATCTCATCTCTCATGAAACTATTGATCCCATCCGTAGAATGAGAAATGAGCTATTATAGTCCTGGAAGGAGGCAACAATTGGAAAAAATTGTGAAATGATCAACAATATTATTTTTTTTTAAAGATTTTATTTATTTATTTGAGAGAGAGAGAATGAGAGAGAACACATGAGAGAGGATAGGGTCAGAGGGCAAAGCAGACTCCCTGCCGAGCAGGGAGCCCGATGCGGGACTCGATCCCAGGACTCCAGGATCATGACCTGAGCCGAAGGCAGTCGCTTAACCAACTGAGCCACCCAGGCACCCTCAACAATATTATTAATATCAGTGGTAGTTGGTCATCATTAACCCAATGCAATTATAAACATCATTATCACCACCATCCCTACGACCACCACCACTACCATACCATTATCAATTATCATAACATCTACACATATCTTACTGGCTGGATTGCTTCTTCCTTCCAGGCATCAATGTTTGTTAAATAATGTGCCCCTAGAGCTACTATCACAGACTCTTATATATAGAGAGAATCTAATACAGTGGATTGTGGAACTAGACTCCACAAGTTCAAATAATGGCTTTGATATTTATTAACGATGCAATGTTGATCAACTTATTTAACCTCTCCATGTATGTTTCAGTTTCCTGATCCATAAGATCAGGCAAATAATCATAACTAACTCATAGAGGTGTTATGAGAATAAAAGCGTTTATTATATGTAAAATGCCAATAACACCAACTTATATATGTCAAATATTTATTATTATTACTCTGCATGTCAAAGTAATTTTTAAATATATACAGTGTGTATTAAAAATAATTCAAAATTAAAGAAATACATAATGTGTCCTGTTTCTAGTTTTAATTTTTTCCTCTTTTCCCATGTGATTTCTTTAAGAATGTAGATTTATAGAATAACACTAATAAGCAGAACCATGAAGTGTCACAGGAATGACATCCTTGCCAAGACACTGTCTCCTCCTCAAGACAGCAGGGCTTAGCTGAGCAGGAGGCACTGTCCAACCCTCATGGTCTTTTTGATAGCATTTTTTACTTCCTGGTTCCTAAGGCAGTAGATGAACGGATTTAGCATGGGTGTGAGGACTGCATACACAGCTGAGATTAGTTTGTTGGAATTAAATGATGCAATAGCTCTGGGCCGAACATACATAAAAATCATGGCTGTATAATAAATTACGACTACAGTGAGGTGTGATGCACAGGTGGAGAAGGCTTTCTTCCTTCCCTGGGTGGAGGGTATCCTCAGAATGGTGGAGACTATGTAGACATAAGAAAGGACAGTGGTGATGAGTGGGAAGACAAGAATGACAATAGCCAAAGCAAAGTCCACTAGCTCAGCTGTGGACATGTCTTTGCAAGCCAGCTTGAGAATTGGTGAAATGTCACAGAAAAAGTGGTTCATGACATTAGAACCACAAAAGGCAACATGTGAAATGAAATAAACCTTGATGACAGAGACCATGAAACCACTCACATAGGAGAAAGCCACCAGCTGTACGCAATAACCTGTGGTCATAATGACTGGGTATTGGAGAGGGTGGCAGATGGCCACATAGCGGTCATAGGCCATGGCTGCCAGAAGCACACACTCAGTGCAGGCGAGTGCGATAAAGAAGTAGAGTTGAGTCATGCAACCGGTGAAGGAGATGCGCCATCTCTGTAGAAGGAATCCATCCAGCATCTTGGGGACAGTGACGGAGACATACCAGACCTCCAGAAAGGACAAGCTACTCAGGAAATAGTACATGGGTTTATGGAGGGAGCCAGTGATCCAAACAGTGAGCATGATGATAAGATTCTCTACTACCACCAGCAGGTAGACCACAAGGAAAAGGAAGAAGAGCAGGACTTGTAGCCATGGGGCAGTGGGGAAGCCCACCAGGATGAATTCACTGACCAGAGTGATATTTTTCCCCAGCATGACTAAAAGCACTGAGAGGTATTGAAGTCTTATATAACAGCACTACAAATAATGAAGATGATTATGCTACCAGACAAGAGACCAAAAGAAGTTAGTAAATCAGACTTTCCTGCAAATGACTCATAAAATAACTTCATCAACACAAAGTAATCTTTAAATGTGAAAGCACATATTTCCATCAAAGTTTTTTGTTGTTCTTTTTGTGTTTGTTTTTTATGAAAGTCTCCCAGAATCAAAATGCACTCCCAGAAACCAATATTGAACTGTATGTTAACTACCTAAAATTTAAATTAAAAAAAAATGCACTCCCACCCTTAATTCTCACTCCCCTGATTAAATATTTGAATGTCACTACCCATGTCATTCCCAGGTCCTTTGTCAATAAACATAGATAGTCTCTCCCTTGTTGGTTCCAGATCTCTGTTTAATTAGGAACTTATTGCCTGAAGATTTCTTTCCTCCCTAAAGGAAATGTGAGGGATAACCTCATGTCAGAAAAAGTTTCAAAGTTTAATATTTGGGTGATCCATTGGCTGTAGTCCTTTGATCAGCACAGTTTCTTCAGACTTTATTTGTGGAAATAAGAGATAGTAATTCTTGGAAAGTTCCTTAGTGACTCTCCAGTTGCTTTCAGATAAAAATGGAAATGTTTTCGATATCACACATAGGAGGCACTTCATATATTGATCCAGCCATGTATTTCTTCTGCCTCATCACTCATGACCCTCTAAATGGTTTCCATGATCCAGACATGCTCAACTAGTTTTTGCCCCCCAAACACACTAATCACCCTCACGCTTTGCTTACACTCTTCCCTCTTCTTATTGTGCCCATCCCCCAATCTTTATTGGCTGATTCAAGATTCAAGATTCCACTTAGAAGACATCTCACCAAAACTCAGTCAAGAGCTTCAAAAACATTTGCTCCCAGTGCACAACCCCTTCACATGTTGAGATTTCTCTCCATTACACTGCAGTTTTCTAAAACTCAGGGAGATGTTGGTAAAAGGGTATAAATTTCCAGTTACAAAATGAGTAAGCTCTGGGGATCTGATGTGCAGCAAGGTGACTGTAGTTAACAATACTGTATTACGTACTTGAAAGTTACTGAGAGTATATCTTAAGTATATCTTCTCACCATACACAAAAAGTGATAATTATGTGATATGATGGAGATACCACTTAACCTTATTGTGATAATAACTTCACAACATATGCATGTATCAAATCCTCACACTGTACACCTTAAACTTGCCCTTATATCTCAATAAAACTGGGGGAAAAAAACTTTGCCTTCATGACTGTGAACCCAATGCCTAGGATAGTGATTAGAAAATACATGAATATTAAATGAATATGGATTAACAAGTGAATTAATGAATCCCTTGGAGCTTTGGGATCCATAGGAAATAGATCAGTGGCAGAGGAATGTGAATTCAGGGTACTTTGCTGGCAGAAGGCATCTATCTATCAGGCTGCAGATCTTAAGCATAGCCTCAGCTTGCATATCCAGGGTATTGTCACAGCAAACATATCCACAGGGTCTGAAAACAGTGGATATGATCCCTGGTCTCAGGTTACTTGGTAGATTGGGTCTGAAAATATCATCCAGTGTCTCAGGTCTCCTAGAGGAGTAAGGAGAAAGGAGGCAGGAAGGCATGTGAATATAGTGTAAGGATAGGTAGCTCTTATAATGCTGGAAGAAAGCATATTTGTGAGGTAGCCCAACTATTTTAACCTGTGGTCCACAGGGTATCTTTTGAAAACACATGAATGAATGTGTCTCTCTGTTAAATATCACACTCATCCATAAAGATCCATAAAGACTGAGGTCAGGTCCTGCCTTTAGAACATTGCTCACTCCTGCCAAACACTTTGTCTGTCATACTCTTCACTTGACACACAGAAGGTGGGAGGCTGATCAGGGACTCATTGGACTAGAGATCTTCTGGCCATAGCTCATAACAAGGGACAGAAGAATGAGGCACTGAAATACATATTACTGACTCACTACCTCCTCTCCACAGCAGCATCTATCAGCAGAGCTCAGCCCTGCTTGCTGGATGGAAAGGGATTGTATTTTACCTCCAAGCCTCCTCCAACACCTTCAACCTGAAGTAGTTCATTAGTAAGCCATTTCTGGCCTAGTTTTTCAGTGCCTTTCACCTAATAATTTTCCTTGGGAAAAGCAACTGGTTCTGGGAGCAGAAAATAGTGAGCTTTCCCATGTTCTTGTCTCAGTGGGAAGAAGAAGAGACTTTTCTTCAGGGCATGTATAACATTCCACATTCTCACCATCAGCCACACAATTTCCCACACATTTACCTTTGTCTACTAGTTAAGAGCATTGACTTTAGAGTCAGAACAAGGCTATTAGGTGTGTCATCCCGAACAGAATATTCAACAATTATGGACTTAAAGATCCATTGCTGTGAAATAGAATAATGTTAATAATGCCTATCTTACTTGTTTGCTGTGAAAATAAATGTAATAATGCACGGAAATCACTTAACATAGGAATTGGTCCATGGTTTTTCTCTATAAGTGTTAGCTATTACTATATTATGTCACATTAGACTCACACATGCTAGTCACTCACATGTGTTCATATAAACACACAGACATTCATTCTCTCTCTCTTTTACTCATCTTTTTTCTGTTACATTCTGGGGGAAAAGGGAAGCCAAATTTCCCGAAAGGACTATAGCATCTTTGAAGAGCTCTGAGTTACAATCACTCATGCCTCTTTCTTATCCTCTCTCTAGAATATTGCTTTCATATATTCAAGCATACCCCTGTTACTTCATATTTTCCTCCACTTTTTGGCCATGGATGTACCTCTCAGCTGGTTTTATTTTGTATCATAGAGAAATGAAGAATTCTATCTTAACTATATTCTTTGTTTTCAGAACTGAAAGCACTAAGCTCTGGGGTCTCTTTTATGGTATCTGAGGAAATAAATCCTTTCGTTGTACTATAAAACCTTTTTTCCAGTCTTGTATGTGCTTATTTCCAAGAGACAACATGGACACCAACAGACTTCTTCTAGAATAAGAAACATATCTTTTGGGCCTGGTCCAACACCCAAAAGATCCCACAGCTGCCCACATTTCCCCAACCTTGGGTAAAGAAATAGTGAATCTTCATTTTCCCATTAATTCTCCACAATACCCTTTCTCCTGTCCATTCATGGTGCTTGTAGCCACTTCCCCCAAGTCCCTCTTCATCTTCCTTGGAACTTTCTTGAATCAAGATATCGGATCAACCAATCTCACCTGCAACTTTCAACCACTCACCATGGTCCACCTGCCCTCTCTTCAAGAGTGGAAAATTTTGCAGACATTTGCAACTAAACATGGAAAAGCAGACTGGCTTGCATATTTTTATACTTCACCTGGAGATCCACATCTGGTCTCTGCTTAGACTGCATGATAGGTATTGCAGCATTAAGACAAGTCTGGAGCTGAGGCAGGAGAATATATTTAACACTCACCTACAGCTTGCCCATGTCTTCTTCCCAGGAGGCTCACTGACAGTCTCTCCTGGCTCTAGGGAAACTCTGTATGTGCTGCTAAGACTATGTCCAGAGGATTTTGACAGGGAAGCTGAATCTCCATTTACCTACTAGTTCCTGTTTATACCTGGACCAAGTTTATTTATATCTGTGGGTGGGATGTGGCCCTTTTCTCTTACTACTATATGTAATTTAATGCAACACTAAGTTACTCAAAACCAGGATAAGAAACCTAACTAGGTTAATAAGATAACCAATACATCCATTTGCTTATTCACAAAATCACAATCAGCTTTTATTGAGCTTTTATCATGTGTAGGGTGCTGTGCTATATGTTATTTGGAATAAAAATATATAAGTCATGGTTTCTGTCCTTCAGGAACTTGTAGTATTCTAAGTAAAATAATAAATACACACTATAATGAGCATAGAATGTGACATGTACCAAAAGAGAGGTATAGCCATGCTCTAGGAACTCCAATGAGGGAGTAACTTAGGAATTTAGAAAAAGATTCAAGAGGTGTCATTCCAGACTCATACAGGAAGATAGTGTGGAAGTAGTGTGATGGGAAATAATTTAGGTTCAGCAGTCAGAAGATCCAGTTCCTAATCTAGGTTCTACCATTTTTAAGACCTTTGACCTTATAAAATTGTTTTTATTTCCCAGTTTATTCACCCATAAAATGGGATAACAATAATTCACTTGTTAACATCATATCATTAATGTTAATTTCAAAAGTAATATGTATATGAAAGCAATTTTTAAAAAAGATTTTATTTATTTATTGGACAGAGAGAGAGCACAAGCAGGGGGAGTGGCAGGCAGTGGGAGAGGGAGAAGCAAGCTTCCCGCTGAGCAGGGAGCCCGATGCAGGCTCGATCCCAGGACCCTGGGATCATGACCTGAGCTGAAGGCAAACGCTTAACAAACTGAGTCACCCAGGTACCCCTATGAGAGCAATTCTAAAACAGCTTTGTGATAACTACACAAATGTAAGATATTACCTGCGTTGGAATGTGAACCACAGCCATGAGTCGATCAGAAGAAATGAGGTGAGAGGGCTTTCAGTGTAGACAGACTAGCACAGGAAAGAGTACAGTGAGAAGTGAGACAATGTAATAATGAGGCCCCTGCAGTGTCTAGTGGTCACACCCACCAAACTTAGACTCCAGGAACTATTCAGTCATTTGATCAATGTTTGCGAAGCATGTGCTGTGAGCTAAGAGCAGTGTGAAATGACAACTCCTGTCTGTCAAGTTATTCACAGCTGAGTTAGCCCATAGACTCTGTTATTAATTGTTGTCTGTAACCATAAAATTAAGAATCAAGTGCTAGAAGTTTTGTTGTAATGAAGGCCTGGGAAATATACTTGTGTCTCTGTGAGTAACCAAAGGTGGAGTAAGGGAGTGAAGCAGGGGTTTAAAAAATGAGAAATCCTAGAGAAACTTTAGATCCTAGAAGGAACCTAAAGGTCTATGTGTGACTAATTAGAATTTTATG